CCATCAACCAGTCGACTCAGCCGAGTTGCACGTATTTGGAGATGCATCAACTGAGGGAGTAGGCACGGTCGTCTACTCTGTGGTCCGCCAGGCCGAAGGAGTTACAACTTCCCTCGTTGCGGCGAAGTCCCGATTGGCGAAGAAGAATCTGACGGTGCCGAGATTAGAGTTGGTCAGTGCTCATATGTCAGCAAATATCGTGACAAACGCAAAGAATGCCCTGATAGAGCTTCCCACGCCAGAGATATTTGGTTGGTTAGACAGCACCGTTGCACTTCACTGGCTTCTCGGTAACGGTCAGTACAAACAGTTCGTCGCGAATCGCGTGAGAAAGATACAACAACATACTGAGATCCAGTGGAGGTACGTGCCTACCGAAAGGAATCCGGCAGACATCGCGAGCCGTGGAGGACATATTGCTAACAGTACGTGGTTGACTGGCCCTGAATGGCTCGCTGACCGTGATCGCTGGCCAGAAAATCGAGTAGCGGAGAAATCACCTGCCTCGGAGGTCGAAGCGAAAGTCATGAAGGAAGTGCTCAGCCTCGCACAAGAACAAGAACAAGATAAAGATTCTAAGAACGACCCCTTCGAGAACCTCCTCCAACGTCACGATCTGCTTCGCGCACTCCGAATTCTAGCCTGGGTACGCCGCTTTATGACAAACCGTCATCGTAGAGGGCCCCTGACGTCCGATGACGTAAGAGAAGTTCGGGACTGGTGGACAAAACGAGAGCAAGCGAAAGATTCCCTAAGACCCCACTTCGAGCATACGAAACAGTCCCTTAACCTCGTCATGAATCAACACGGGATTCTCGAATGCTGCGGAAGAATCCAAGGACATTATCCTATATACCTTCCAACCGACTCTGAGTTCACTAAAAAACTCGTGCAGAGATACCACGTGGAAACACTACACGGTGGTGTGCTGTTGACGATGGCAGCAGTGCGTGAGATCTATTGGGTCCCGACGTTAAGGCGACTAGTGAAAGCTGTTCGTGCAAAGTGCTATGGCTGTAAGCGATTTACAGCGACGCCGATCGTAAAACCAATTCCAGGAAAGCTGCCTAAAGATCGTACCACTGGCGGGGTAGCGTTCGAAGTGATAGGTACGGACTTCGCTGGCCCTATACGCTATAAGTGCTCCAACAAACGCGAAAGGAAGAGCTACTTAGTCATATTCTCGTGTAGTTTGTCGAGGGCAGTCCATCTCGAACTGATAAAGAACCTCGAAACGACATCATTTATCCTGTGTCTGAAACGATTGATCGCACGACGCGGGCGTCCGAGAATCATCTACTCCGACAATGGGGCTACGTTCGTCAAGGCCTCCAAGTGGTTGAAGCAAATCAGGAACGACGAACGTGTGCAAGGCCTTCTGCAACAATACGACGTGTCGTGGAAATTCAATCTGAGCAGAGCCCCGTGGTGGGGTGGTCAGTTCGAGCGATTGATCGGAGTGGTAAAGAATGCTATGTACAAGGTGATCGGTGGGGCGAAGCTGACGTGGTCGGAATTGAACGACGTACTGCTAGATGTAGAAATCCAAGTGAATCGACGTCCACTAAGCTACATGGAAGATGACGTAGAACTTCCAACCCTAACCCCTTCCACATTTCTATTTCAACGAGCTAATGAATTACCCGAAAGTGAACCATGGCGGATCGAAGACCAAGACCTACGGAAACGAGCGAAGTATCTAACAACGTGCAAAAATAGCTTGTGGAAGAGATGGCGACGCGAGTACATATGACAGCGCTGAGAGAACGTCACAGCCTCGTCCATAAGACTCAGAAATATAAAGTTAAAGAAGGGGACGCAGTGATCGTGAAGACAGACGATAAGAATCGAGGGAAATGGCCACTAGCCATAGTGGAGAAGTTATTCCCAGGACCAGATGGTCGGACGCGAGCTGTTCAGCTCAGGACGAAAAATGGCGAGATAGAAAGACCCGTTCAGCATCTCTATCCCCTAGAACTCCAGTGCGACACAAAAGGGAACGCGAACGAACCGAAAAGAGCTGCCGCAGCAGATGCACGAGCAAAAATAACCGCCATAGCAGAAGATCAAGAAGAAGATATGTGAACACTATATAATATTTACACATTAACACTAGATTCATTTTCAAGTTTTGTTTTCCACGAACACGATAGTTTAGAAGCGCAGTCTCCTTAGGGAACATACAATTTAGCTCCTAACTTGCATGGGGGAGTGTGTCGGAGACTGTCTATATACATCTTAATATTTGTGATTTAATAGCAGGATTAATTATTACTTTAATTAGGGACGAACATTGCATGATTGACACATTTATATTATTATGAAGAGGAATTAAAAGATAGGAATGTAGTGATTGTGTGACTGTGAGAGAGACTAGACCGCGTATACAACTGTGAGTGATTTTCAATAATATAATTTTATAAAACCGAATTTGCTTCGTCGAGAGTTTGATTGTTCAATACCTTTTAGTAAGGGTCAATTTACTAAAAGCCAGTGCCACAGTGTAGATACATATACAGAGTTATAACTAGTGTACCCACTTTTTTGTGTGCGTGCTCGACAAGTTACTCAGATGCATGCATCCCATTGGATGGCGGCTCGCTTTAACTGCTCGCGGAACTAGCCGAGGTCGCCTGAAAAAAAGTGGGTACATGAAAACGTAAGTTTCCGCAGTGTTTACAACGGTCAGTTACAGCTCTGTATGTACCTACTCTGTGCCAGTGCGCTTATGAGAGGCATTCACTCCCTGGACATCCCCCATTTTGAATATTATCAGGGGGGCGAATGCCTCTCATAAGTGCACTGGCTAGGACCACGGTATCACAGACGGCATAAGCATTTTGATGACGAATTACGGTTACGCCAAAATCATAGGAAAAACCAAGGAGTAGATCTTCTGTTTTCAAGCGTTTCTGCATGTCTGCCGGACGGTTTTATTACAGTTTCGAAATGACACTTACTATATAATAATTATCACTTATATTTACTGAGACCGATGGAAACAGCATGCTTTGTGGCCCTGAGACCGCCCTTGTTGCCCGAGGCGAACGAATATATTTCTATTTGATCTTGATCCCAGTCACAAACTTATTCCTAACCCTATATTGCGTACAAAATACGAAGATGTATAACCCACATGAAAACAAGATCAATGTGCAATAAAAAAACAATTAACGTAGCCCTGTTACGTTATATATTAATACAATAAATATATTTAGTAGATAGCGATTATATTAGTTATCCTTGATTTTCAATTTCCTCTAAAATATTTTCCTTCAATGATTCGGAAACCTTGTTTTCAGGAGCAGACTCCAACAAACGTTTTTGAAGTTCTTCTGTCTCATGGGATATTGGAATAAAGCTGCCGGTTGATGCCGGATGACCTTCACTGACAAAAAACCCTTTGAATCCGAGTCGTGATGGTACTACTACTTCCCCTGGGTTTTTAATTACATTACTATTTTTGGCAGCTGTAAACAGTTCATGGATTGTCTTGTATAGTGGGTCATCTACTTTGATTGACCATTCAGGGTCAGGTCTGCCAGAAAATACCAACAAGGTAATATTAATGGTTTCTACAACAAAAGAATGTATACATTAGTAAAGCCTTCGACAATGACATGTTCTCAACAAGTTAGAGTAATATGGAATTCGCGGACCCCTTACCCTGGGTTCCAGAGCCTTCGGTAAATAATAAATTGAAACGTCGTGAAGGCTCTGGTTCAACGGGAGGGTTCTTTGATTAAACCGCGCCAATCACAAAACAGAATTAGTGGTTTTAGTACAGAGTACAGATTCTGTACTAAAACCACTAATTCTGTTTTGTGATTGGCGCGGTTTAATCAAAGAATCCTCCCGTTGAACCAGAGCCTTCATGACGTTTCAATTTATTATTTACTGAAGGCTCTGGAATCCAGGGTACTGACCCCTGCGTGTTTAGGAAAACGGTGGCTATTATTCCAGGAGGACTTACAGCAACTCGAAGTGGGGCAAAAAAAATGGCAAATGCCATTCAATCCTTCAAAGTGTAAAACCATTTGCATTTCCACTAATGAGAGAATTCAGAACTTTATATATAAGAAAAAAATAACAGCCAACACGAGATAAACAAATTCTAGATGATGAACTGTTAAACATTTATGTTTTGCATGTATTTTATGCTGTTCTTTGTTAATTAAAAGTCATTTCCTGAAGTCAAGCCTAATTTCTCTTATACACCATACTGTATTTAAAGGTTTGTGATTAACTTTTGAGTATTAGCAATATGGCAAGGGTAGGGATAAAATACGGAAACGGAATTCCGTAACTAAACTAGCGCAAATGAAAGTTTTCATATTTAACTATAGTCACTATATAGCCAGCAGTTTTACTTCCACTTTTTACTTTTTTTTTCTTTTTTACTGCCGCCTGCCGGCTGAGTAGACACTTTGAAAAAATTAACCCGTTTATTATTTGCTTCAAATATCTGTTTCAAATATCAATATTTCATCAACTGAAAAAGCTTGTCCTAAAGTACATTGCCTCTCTTTGGTGACATTTGGTGACATGTGAGTTCTTGGCCTGCCAATTAAATAGTTTGTTAATTAGACGTGGTTCAGGTCCGTCTCTCAAGGGGTTAAAATAGCGATGCACGCGAGCGGTCAAAAAAGGCGCGAAAATATGAGAGAAAAGTAGGGAGAGACTATATCTATGGGAGAGACGGACTTGGATACTCTGCAAGCGCGCCAAATTTTACCGTCGGATTTTTCCTACGGAGGCGTGGCTTGCGATTTGGGAACAACAACTTAGGCTTGTTGAGCTTGTTTTACTAACGGATTATAATGATTATCCTGCTGAGTAAATTTCAAGTAACCAAAATTTCCGTTTCTTATATAACAGGTGAAAATCATATCGGTAGTACAGGTGTATGTACCACAGAATATCACAGTACCCCAGAATACCAGTTTTTTTGTTTCTCTTAGAAAATTTCGCGCCAATATTTTTGCAAGTAACATTCGAAATGCTGCAAATGTCCCAAGTCCGTCTCTCTCTACCTTTCTCCTGAGACGTGCTTGAAACAAGTCTATTTGTTAATGTGAAGCACTGAATACCTCACAATCAGGGCCTCCCAGGGGCAAATGGGGCATTTCCCCCAAAAAATTTGCAAAAGGGGGTCACCAAAAGGTGCAATTAAAAAAACTATTTGGAACGTTTTTTATATAAGTAATGGTATGAGAAAATATTTTTAGACCTTATTTTTCTGATATTGGTCCGAAAAAAGTAGTTTTACCCGTGATTTTACAGGTATTTGTCCAGAAACATTTTTTGAACCTTAATTTTACTGGTATTTGTATGGAAAAAATTTTTTAAACCTTTTTTTGGAAATGTCCAGAAAAATCATCCCCCTCCCGCTTGCCAACATTTTTGGAAAAAAAAGGCCGCCCTGAACTGACAATTTGCCCTGCCCCCTGACTTTCTCTGTGAGGCCCTGCTCACAACATTGTCTTATGTTTCTTAGGTGTTCAAAATTCAAAATTCAATGGAAAATAATTTGAATTTGGCTTCAATGAAATACCCAATAATCATGAGCAAATGCCAATCACAATTCACAGGTACACCTTCCAGGTTGCCAGCAAGTCACAGATCACATGGTCAGGGGCATAAAATATCCTCAGGGGGCCAGTTGTTCAAACTAAGGTGAATTAGGGCTAACCCTGGGTTGAAATTTAATCCACTGTTTTAGTTTGGGTACATCTGCACTTTGGAAAAACTTTGGAAAATGGAACTTCTATTGATTATGAAAAAATATTTCCATGTTTATAAAAAAGCTGTTCACAGGTTCAGAAGCTCTAAATTTCAGAATTTTCTGGGGGAGCATGCCCCTATACCCCAACCCACTAGGCAGGGCATTTTTTAAGAATTCGTCAGTGGGGGGGGGCATCTACAAAAAGGGACCATACTATACCGAGTGTGGAGCAATGATAGATGGTTTGTTGGTAACAACAAGTTTGGTGTAGTATCGCATTTAATAGTAGGGGGGGGGGGGGGGGGGAGGAAGCTCTTTTCGTTTGGGGGGGCTGAAAGCGAGGGCTGAAAGCAAGGGCCGAAGGCCCGAGGAAATTTTTAAATTTAGAGTCTCTGAAATGCCATTTCCTGGACTTTGGGGAAGATTTGACAGATTTCTGATTGTCAAATACAGCGTTTTTAGTATGTGGAAATTTAGAATTCAGTAGTACTAAATGGACGAAGGTGTATTTAATTAACAATATATTGGATAAGTTGCAGGAAAGTATGGGTAATATCTTCATTCTTTGCAGTTTGTCATGGATTAAATAATAAAGGTCTGCATGATTTTAAAAAATGAATAATTATTAGCAAATTACTACGGCCCTGGAGAGGGTCTGGGGTTTTCTCCCCCAGAAAATTTTTGTATTTTTCTACCCCTATGACTGCAATTCCCTGCATTTTCTGAAACAGATTTTTGGATATACAGCATTACATTATGCTGTAGATAGACTGAACCTTCAGTTAAGTACTAGCATAGTATGTTTATGTAGATACCACAACTTGGCCGTCACTTAGGGAGCCAGCTTGATAAACTTAGAGTTCCCGACTCCCACGAAGTGCCACCATGGTTGGCACAGAGTGGAAAAATTTTGAAAATTTTGCGTCTCTAAATCATCGGAAATGGCATTTTCAAAGTCTTCTATACGTCTTTTGTTTGGCCCTTTCATTAATTCGTTCATTATGACTTGTGAGTCTATGATCGATATCCGCGAGTCAGGATGGATTATTACGAGAAATGTTATCAAAATATCGATTACAGATATTTGATTATATGTATATATGATTTCAAATACTTCTAGTTTCGAAATCAAATTGTTTTTTTTTTGGTGGGGCCAAAATTATCCCCCCCCCCCTTATAAAACACATGGTTGAGGGCTGTTGCCCCCTGCGGTCACTAACTTGTCCAACAACTCAAACTCTATAGGGTCTGGGAAATGCAATCCACTGCCTGGGAAATGTTTAAAATCTAATAAAGTATTTATTAAAACATAAAAGACAGGACATAAGATTCACAAAGCAAATTTCAGTTACTAGAATATCAAACCTTCCTTCTAAATCCATGTTTTGCCTATATTTTAGAGAAAAGGGACTTTGACTGGGGGGGGGGCAAAATGGTTGAGTGGGGGGGGGGCACCATGGGGGCTGGGTGGGCTTTGCCCCCCCCAGTTATATAGTTAAAAAATGCCCTGACATGTAAAAATTTGGAGATCTTGGTAAGAAAGTTTAAATAATCGACGTTTTTAACAAACGTCTTGACTTATTAGGGAATCTAGTCCCGTTCAAACCATTGGTTCAAATCTGTTCCACATGGTCAGTCCAACCATGTCGGATGAAAATTTTGAATAAAGTCAATTTGTCAAATCTGATCCTACATCAGCTGGCATTCATTAGCAAACAAAACGAAACATATCGTGTACAAAAAGACCAAAAAATGTTGAATGATCCTACTAAACATCTCATGAAAGCAGACCCAAAAGTGTCGAACAATGTCGGATAAAATCTTTGAACAGAGTCATACTTCAAACAGACACAAATATTTTGCATCTAACAATGCAGGATGTAATCTTTGAACGATCTGTACCAGTGTAGGTAGTGGCAATAATAAGAATTAGTATAATTACATAGGTGATTATTGAAAATTCTCCACGCTGATTGGTTGCCGTTGAGGTGATTATTACGCGATAATCACCTAAGCGATTTTCAAAATGGCGGCCGAAGCCGTTTTGTCAATTAAAAGACGAAGAAATGTGCATTTTAAAATTTTTTTCCAAATAATCACCTATGAAATTATACTAAAACAATTATTCACCTCAGGCTAGGTGATTATCGTGAATAAAAACCTCGACTTCGTCTCGGTTTTTATTCACCGATAATCACCTCGCCTTCGGCGAATAATTGTTAAATAATCAGATTGATAGGGATACAACTACCTGAAAAATAGAAGGAGAACTTGAAAGGTCTGTGGCAGTTCGGATTGATAGGGATACAACTAAATGAAAAATACAACTTCGACGTTTCTCGGCCCTTTGTCGGGAAGTTTGAGTGGCTACGAACTTCCCGAGGAAGAAGGACCTTCGCTCGAAACGTCGAAGATGTATGTTTCAGGAATCAGGTAGTTGTATCAAATGTAGGATGTAGCAGGCGTCTCATGGCGCAGGCTGTGTAGGATGGTAGTTGAAGGGTCTTGTAGATGGGACCACGGTGAAAAAGACGGAGCACGAAGCCTAAAAGTTTTCCCTTACACAAGTCAATAAATGGATTTTTATCATCCTACATATGTTGGCACGTTGGCATCTCACTCGATTGAATAATAGTTGAAGGATCTTGTAGATGGGACCACGGTGAAAAAGACGGAGCACGAAGCCTAATAGTTTTCCTTTACGCAAGTCAATAAATCGATTTGTATTATCCTACATATCAAGATTTTGTTGGCATTTCACTCGATTCAATAATAGTTGAAGGATCTTGTGGATGAAAATTATCGAGTGGAAATTTATATAGTAAGTTTTTAGACGTTCTCTGGTTTTTC